CCAGAGGGGTCTGCAAGGGAGACCGCAACTGGCCAACTAAGCGGCGTGAGTGTGGTGCGGTCTCGAAAGAAGGAGCGGGAAGCACCCGAGTCAAGGGTGAAGGTGTGGGAGGCCTGAGCCGACGTGGTACCTGAGAGAGCAGACTCACCAGCACCTGGGGCAGCAGACTCACTAGCACCTAGAGCAGCAGCCTCACCAGCACCTAGAGCAGCAGTCCCAATGCCCGGGTCAGGCGGAACACACAGGTAACAGTCACCCTCATCACTAGTAGACACAGCATACATGGCAGCAAGAATAACATCATAATCAAGATCAAAGATAGCAACCCCCGACCAGCGAGGGATCTCAGTGGCGTCAGGGAACTGGAGACGCCAGGCGTCCGTCAGGCAGTCGAAGCAGCGCTGGGTGGGGTGCGGGCCCCCGCACTGCTCACCCGTACGGTCGCCGGTACGCAGGACGTAGGTACAGGGACCAGCACCCCCACCCCGCTGACGCGAAGCGTACCACTCACGAAGCTGCTGGGGGGGCGGGGTCTCACGAGTGCGCTGCTGCTGCTGGCGCTGACCACCACCGGAGCCGCCCCTCCGCACAGAGCCGCCCCGACCAGTCCCACCGCTGCCGCCGCCACCTCCACCGCCGCCGCCACCTCCGCCTCCTCCGCTCCCACCACCACCGCCGCCGCCTCCTCCGCCTCCACTGCCGCCACCGACGCCCCCACCCCCGCCACCACTCCCACCACCACCCCCACCCCCTCCACCGCCTCCACCGCCACCTCCACCGCCCCCGCCAGCTCCTCCAGCACCCTTGCCCCCCTTGCCCTTGCCGGTGCGGCGTCTCCCGCCAGGGGCAGACGCAGCTCCGACCGACTCGAGGCCAACGAGGTCGGCCGCAGCAGCAGAGGCAATAGAGGGCAGGAGGGGGGAGGGGGAACACCCCTCAAAGAAGGGAGTACGAGGGTCACCACGAGAGGCTCCTACAGCGACTATGCTCTTCTCAGCTGCCAGGAGGCGCTCCTCGAGGAGGTCAACGGTGAGTGTGGTGGGGCAAACAGAGAGGAAGTGGTCCCTGACCGAGCGAAGGGAGTCAGGGAGCCGGGTGACTATGTATTAGAGGGTGATGTACATGGGGGGGGGGGTTCTTGGCGCAGAACTCAGCAGGGAGCGCAGCGCGGTAGCGAGTGTCACTAGTGCGAAGGTGCGTAACTAGGTCAGCGACTGTGGAAAAGGCGGCGAGGTCAGGGAACAGGTACGGCAACATGAGGCGACTAAGAGCAGCAGTGGCAGGGGAAGAGTAGCGTGCAACTACAGCGTCGTACAGGGTCTTAGCGCTCTTATACTGACCAAAGTGCGCGCGCTCAGAGGACGGCAAGTGACTATGAACAGCAAGACGGGCAGCAGCATCACGTGTGGCCCACTATGAGCGAACAGTGCTGTCAGCATCGGCAGGAGGGGCAGGAGAGGCGCCAGACGTGAGATCGAACAGGGAGAGACCATCTGTCCTATCGCACTGTAGGAAAAGCTGTAGGTCATCGACCCAGACCTCAAAGCCGACAGACCGACCCTCAGCATCAAACGTGAGAACATTAGGAGAAGCCATGGCAGCAGTGGCAGCAGCAGGCTAGCAGTAAGAGCAGGGCGGTGGTAGAGGCGCTGCTCAGGAGTGCTCTTACCAGGGCGGGTAGGTAGAAGCCCGCAGGTGGTGAGGCAGGGCCGAGGCGCGCCGGCAGGGACAGGGCCGCAACAGTGGCGGCGGCGGCGACGGCAGCGGCTGTGGCGGCTGCGGAGGCTGCTGTCTCGGCTGCGGCGGCGGCGGCTGCGGCTTCGGGAGCGGCAGCGGCGGCGGCAACGGCGGCGGCGGTCGGCAGCAGAGGCGGCTGCAGTCGGCAGCGGCGGTGGCTGCAGCGGTAGAAGTGGCCGCTGCTGCTGCTGGGACCGGGGAGGGGCCGCGTAGGGCGGAGACGAGGCCGCGAAGGGGCCACGAGGGGCCGAGAAGAGCGGGGACGGGGCCGCAACGGGCGGCGACGTGGCTGCGAAGGGCGGCGACGGAGCCGCGAAGGGCGGCGACGGGGCCGCAACGGGCGGCGACGGGGCCGCGAGGGGCGGCGACGGGGCCGCAAGGGGCGGCGACGGGGCCGCGAAGGGCGGCGACGGGGCCGTAACCAGCGGCGACGGGGCCGCGAGGGGCGGAAACGGAGCCGCGAGGGGCGGCGACGGGGTCGCTAGGGGCGGCGACGGGGCCGCGAAGGGTGGCGACGGGGCCGCTAGGGGTGGCGACGGGGCCGCGAGGGGCGGCGACGGGCCGCGAAGGGCGGCGACGGGGCCGCTAGGGGTGGCGCGAGGGGCCGTGAGAGGGGCCTCTAGGAGGGCGCGACGGGCCGCTAAGGGCAGGGGACGCGACGAGAGGGCGGCCCACGGGGCGGGTCTCGGGCAGGGGCGACTCGCGCTCCGGTCAGAAAAAAAAAAAATCGATTTTCAGTGGTGGGCCCTAGGAAGCGTTCCCACTAGGGAACCTGCTCTATACCATGAGAAGAAATGAGGAATGATTGACTAAGGGAAAGGTTGGGTACAAGTACAAACCTAGAAATGTGTTGTACCCCATATGTGCTACCCCATACAAGTCTGACAATACTGGGGCACCTCCACGAAATACGACGGCGCCCAGGGTCCGGTTTGTCCTTCACGTGTCGGTAGAGTCGCGTAGTCCACCGGCTTCGTGACGATGACGCGCCACCAGTCCATGGCGGGTCCTCGCAGCAACGACACGGCGTAGCGAATCTTCGCCGTATCCTCCGAGACGTAGTTCGCGTCGAAGAAGACGTTCAACGTGAAGAGCCACGCCTGAACGGTAGGACCACCCCGCTGACTTGGGTCAAAGCATGGCGGACGCTGCGGCTTTAGCGGCATCGGCGACGGAAGAGTTGATTCGCCGGCCGGCACTGAAATCGTGACTCGAGGTTGAGTCCTGGCCGCATTCGTCGCGTCGGGGTGTGTCGTGCCGTGGTCGTCGTCTCCGTCATGGCGGACGACGCCATCACTTGCGGCGCTCGCGGGTTGCCCCACACTTCCGTGCTGTGATGTCTGTGGTGCGGGCTGAATCGGAGTGCCAGGTGCTTGGGATTGTGCCCGTGTGAGGTCGTTTTGCAGGGACGAGCGTTCTGCCGTCAGCGTCGCGATTTCCTCGGCGCTTTCGCGGATTTGTCGCAGCAGATCGTTCAAGTGCTCCTGCGTGAGAGTCGTGACGTCGATATGTTCAGCCATTTCGAAGGGCGTCGGCTCGTCTTAGTCTAGGCGCAGTCGTGGCTGCACGCGTTTACGAGAGAACGCGAGGACAGCGACTCCTAGGTGCTAAGGTACGTGAGTCCCTTCGAGTGAAGAATCAAAAGTTGATTTCCTGGGGTGCGGAGATGCGCGGTCCGAAAGAAAGGGGCTCTGAATACCAAGATTTACGGGTGCAATGAATCGAAGCAGCGAGAATTGCACTAAGGTGTCAAACGAGTACAAAATGTGAGCGAAGGCATGAGCGAACATTTATATGCGAAACATGCAAACGGTAACGCGGTGCGTGCGAGCTAGCTAGTGCTACGCTGGAGCGAGGCTCGGGCTAGTCCCGAAGCGTAGGCCGACACGGCCAGGCCAGCAGTGCGAGGTTTGGTGAAACAGTGCGCGCGAAGTCGGCGAAGCCCCGTTAGCAGTAACGGGCGAACAACGGCTGTTGCTGTACGCGATGTAGTCGGGCTCCGTAAGGAATGCCGAGAAAATTCCTTACATGTATGAATATCGTTCTGAAGGGTCTCCACTCTTAGGGCGCGTGTCTTTTGGTGTAGAGGTTCAAAAAAGAGGTCGACCCTTTAATGGTAACTTTTTTCGTGAATTTCGTTTACTGCTGCTTTTGATGATCGTGTGTCCAAGTTCAAAGATTGATGAAACAGAGGGACAGTGAATTGGGGTCGAATTTTCACGTGCTCGTTTAGCCAAATGTGTGTTCTTCTTCTCATGCGCAGTGAATCTGCGACTTTGCGATGGTAACGAACGACACCCTACCTCGTTACTGAATCCGGATTCGTTCACGAGCTACGTCTTCAAATCAGGTAACCTACGAAATTGGGGCGCGACTCGGATTTTACTGTATAAAATCCAACTTCTGAAGTCGAACTTTGATGTGCCATGTGATTTTTGGGAGAAAAAAGTCGCGACTCGGGACCCAAAAGTTGAGATACTCGAGTACAGGTCGACCTAGGTTCAAACGTAAGAAATCGAATAGAAAACATGAACTTTGCAATATAATCCAAAAGACACACGCCCTTAACGATGCGCCCAGAAGCAGGTATATAGTTGCCATGAAAGAACAGCCCCAAATTCTTCCACGTGGCACCCACTCAATTCCCGCATTTGGTGTGCATGTTCGTCAAGGCGATTCGGAGAAAGAAATTCAAGACAGCTCGCATCCAATTTCAGAAAATGGCCCAGAAGGTTCCATCCTACCTAATCTCTGCGGATGTAGCTTTGCTTCTCGCTTCGCTCTTCCTCTACCCCCAGGTCTCGTCCCTCAGCTGGAAATGTCGCTCTCACTCTAATGATCTCTTCCCTCAGACGAAGCAGACCTGACCTTTCGCAGTACATGAGCAAAATCGTCGACTCTTTCACCCAGTTCGTCGCCTGGAAGATTACAGCTTCTCTTGCATAGCCTGCATTTTCTTTTTGGTCAATCTGATCGTATCAACACGCAGTGGTGTTGATCGTCTGCTTTCTACATTCGTTATGGCGATAGTCAGTAATTTTACCCGCGGCTGGGGGATCGGATCAAGAATTGGTGGGATGTTTGGAGCTACTACTAGGAGAAGCTATTCCTTCTCCAACCCTTTCTTCTTGTTCACTTCCATGCTCAGGCTGGCTGGGTGAGTGTCGTCGCTAAGGATGTGCCACGTCAGTGACGTGCAGACGCACCTGGCTGGAAGGTTTACTAACCTTTTTTCTTGAACTCTTTTCTGCAGGCCCGTCCTTATGCTCTGCTATCCTCTGTAAGTATCCTGCTAATTGCTGAAATTGCCGATTTTTTTCTGGGTTTCAGAAAGGATGGGATCTAATAAATATTCGTCTCTGCACTCAGCCTGGAGTTCGTTCGGACCATTGAGTACGCCGAGCCATCCGCGGTGCGCCAGTGGCTCACCTACTGGGTCCTCTTTTCCATCGTCTCCACCCTCGAGCATTTCCTTGCACCCATATTGTCTTGGTAAGAGAATTCCCACTACAAGTGGCTTCAATGCCGTCTTTTTTCGTATTCATTATAGTAATGATTAACATTTGCGCTTCTTTCACTCGCTGCGAGCAGGATCCCTCTCTATTCACTTGCAAAGCTAGCTGGGTTCGCGTGGCTGGTTTTACCCAAATACCATGGCGCTGCGCTCATCTACGATACCTTCGTCCATCCGTTCCACGTCAAGGCTCTTGGTCGCGCACGCGTGCGCAAGCTCAAGGGGAAGCGCGAGCGGGAGGCTGAAGGTTCTCTAGAGGGGAGGACGGCTGCGGGGGGCTCTGAAGGGATCTCGGCTGAAGGGACTGGAAATGAAGGGGGGATGAGGGCGTGGGGACCGGAGGAGAAACGGGTGGTTGAGTCTTTGGATGCGCCCACACGCCAGGCGATGGCTGAGTTTGTGAACGACAATGGGATACCTGCTTTTGTCGCTCTTCTTGTGGAGGTGGGTTGGTTGCAAGCTCCCATACATGAAACAACGCTGTTTTTTTTGTGGTACTTATCACAGCTGGTTTGCATTGATGATCGTTTGCATGGCAGGGTAACAAGCAAGCACGCAAGGGACGCTCGCCCGCATTGGGCGATGACCTTGAGACAAGGCTGCGTGAGAAGGCAGATTTGCCCACGGAAGGGCGTACCAGCTCTGGATCTAAGCCAGCACCTGATGTTGTTTCTGGGCTCTCAAAGCGAAGGGCATACAACCCAAGCTCTGAAGACACGACTGTGGAGGGAGGATCTGCTACAACAGATGAGCAGAGGACAAATGCTTCTTCTTGAAGATTGTCAAACTCTTCACGCTTTGTGCCACTGCACGGGCTTAAGCTTCAACCAAGCTAGCGCGCTGACATTGTATATAATCAATAGTTGTAGTTTCGATTCCTGTATCATACCCGATGGTGTTGGTTCTGTTTGTAATACCGTATGTGCGTACAGAATCCCTATCAGTGTTGAAATTATAACATACGGTAAGCTTGGAGTGCACTGGAACCCTTTCTGATGTAACGTATTTACATCATCCGCGTTACATTTGTTGACCAATCAAAATTTACGGTGCTGACGTGTCGCGTCCCCCTCGTGGGGCTAGTTCACGGGAATTCGCGGAAAGCTTTAGCAACAGCAAGAAATAGCATCACATTCCTCTGCTTTCCTGCCACCGTCATTTCATAGTTTTCGCGCCACAAGGCCCAAAGGGGCAGTGGAGATAGGTTCTCAACTGATGAGAGCTGGAATCGAGAATTTTGGGCAGATCGCTTCACGCTTTTATTCGCTTGAGTCTAGTACTACAAGATATTACGAATTAATGAGGCTGGTGGCGGTGGATTTCTCAAGGGAGTTCAGTCCCCACTCGGGTGGAGAAATGTGGAACAGAATTGTTAGTGATGGATCTGAGTATGAAAGATAGTATCCGTCCTAAAGCACCAATCTCAGATCCGATAGTGCAAAATTTCCGACCCTGAAATGGACTGGATTGAAACTGGGCATTTGTTTATATTTCTCAAGGGAAACCAGTTCAACCATCTCGCAAAGGTGTGCTGTCTGGATACGACCTTGTCTGTGTGTACAGTTCGTCTTGTCCACCAAGCTTCGAGGGGAGGGAACTGCTCTCCCACATGGCTTACGGGAACCGCACTCGTTGATCATAAGCCGATAGCCCTTGGAATGCAACTAGTAGCACTTCTCCGCTCATCATTCTCATTCTTTCCTCCACTCTTCGGCCATGGAGTCCCTGCCACAGCATCCATACATGCGACACTCGCTACCGCCGCCTCATCCATCTCCTCAACGTCGCCATCATTGTCGCTATTCTTCTTCGAGCCGCACGTTATTTTCCGCTGTCTGCATCCAGCTCTCCGCAACCCTCTTCCTCCTCACACTTTGCACAGCACATCTCCCGCCCCGCGCGACCCTCTCCCGCTCCACGCTCCAGTTGCGGCTTCCCCTCCGCGAATCGTCCCGCTCGCATTTCGTCGCCGGAGCGCCGCCGCCGCCTCCGCCTCTCAGCGCATATTCCCGCGCCTCATCCCTCCCCGCTCCGCCCGCTTCTTCCGCCTCCGCGTACACGCAGCTGATGTCAATCCTGCAGCCAATAGCCTTCGCGAAAGCCGCAGCGACGAAAATGGGCGATAGTCAACCCGTCACCATACCCTATCCCTCCTTCCCGCCATCAGCGCAATCAGCGCTCAGCAAGCTCCTCGTACCGGGCTTTAAGTTGCAGCTAGATGTGTGGCCGTTATACAAAGCAAACCTCTCCATAATGTGGACGTACAAAAAGGACGACATTGGCGTGCCTCCGACAATCTCGCCAATCGACCCTGCATATTCATCAGACCTAACAGAACTAGTTTTCGTCTACGTCAAAATCACGATGCAGGACACCAACCCGTCGTCGCCGCCGCTTGCACCGTCCGCAAATTGGCCGTTTGCGGCGCGGAACCCGCCCGTCCATCCCTTCACGGCGAGCTTCTTCCCGTCCGTTATCTCCTTTCAGGGCTACCCTGCTGCTGTAATGCAGCCGTATAGAGCGGGCCCCGCTCCGCAGCCGCCGCCGCAGACGCCGCAGGCAGCATTGCTGGCAGCGCCCATCGCTTTCGCCGGAGTCGCTGAGCAATTTATCTACTTGACGACCCTCGCGAGCTTTGATCTTCCTTACCAGTGCTTCTCGGTCGCAGCTAGTAGCGCTTTTCGTGTATACCCCTCGCAGACCGAACAAGAGTACAATAGTGACGGCAGTGTTTCTCTGAATCGCAAGTGCATGGAAGACTTGCTTACGGACCAGTTCGTGAACCTAGTCGTCCCATCCACCGTTCCCCCCATGCCTCCCCCACCACCCTCCCCTTCCCCACCTCCTCCGCCCCCCAGCCCGCCCCCCTCTCCCCCTCCCCCTCCGCCCGCACCAGTCACGGATCCTCCTCCTCCCCCTCCTCCGCCTCCCGCGGGGAGCAATGCGGGGGTGTTTATAGGCGTGGGCGTGGCGCTAGGAGTGCTACTGTTGGCGGCTGTTGCGGGCTTGCTATACGTCTGGCTGGTGCGGCGGCAGCAGAGGGAGGAGGGGGATAAGAATCTGGACAGGGGCCGTGCTGCTGTGTTTGCTGCAATGCACTCTGCAAGTAAGAATCGCTGGTGGTTTGGCGGAAAGGGGAGTGGATTGGGGGGGAGTTTGCGGAGTAAAGGGAGCAAGGGGGAGTTGACGAGCAAGCGGAGTGAAGGGGATACTGGTGCGGAGAAGGATAGTAAGGAGCTAGGGGATGTGGGGAGTGCGGAGAGCGGCAAGCTGGTTGATGGAAATATGATGCAAGGGATTTCGAGTGAAGTTTTCACAGGGGAGAGCTCGTTAGGTGAGGGCCTCGGTGGAGATATCAGAGAAGGGAGATAGGGAAGAATTTTTGGAGAAAGAGTGGGAAGGTGACAGCGGGTTCAGGGTTCTTGCATTGCCCATGCTACAGCTGGGATCTCAGATTGGGGCTAAGGACGCGTCAACTCCTGCAAAAAACGGCGATCGATCGTGCAATATCGATCTTCCACCGTACTTAACTCTTGCATTTGCATCCAAAGTTTGTTAAAACCTCTTTCAACCCAGTCAGAATTCGATCCTGCCCAGGATCGATCGCCAAATTTTGCCGGAGTTGACGCGTCCTAACTGCTGTCAGTAAAATGCAGTAATCATTATTTTCTTTTACAGTCCGGAAAAACACCAAATAATCAGATAAACCAGTGTAGCTCAAAACAAGCCAAAGCTTTCAATTAGGATACTGGTGGTAGGCTGCAGTGGTAGGCTTCTAGTCACCATTATCCCTCTTCCTTCTTTCAGACGTCCTAGGCTTGAATGCCTCATGTACAGTTCTACGCACCCTTCATTTTCTGCGAATTTCTTGCGCCTCCAATATCGAACCAGTTTCGCAACCTGTCGATTCCACCCCTGTTTCAGAAATCGCCTGGTTTGACGTTGCGGTGCCCCCTCCTCACGTAGTTCAACGGCAGCCCACGTTCGATTCAAACAGAACAAACCAGAGGGAAATAATCAGATTGGGACCTTGGATTAGCAGGAAAATGGCCGACTTGGGGCCTTGTGACTCGCGACCCCTACGGAGAAGTCCCGAAGCAACCCACAAGCCTAGGCAGCTAGGCCGAGCTCGCCAGGTCACCACCTGCTGGCTTGGGTTAGACGGATTTCGCTAGCACCCTGGTTCACGGGAGCAGCGACCGTCAGCCCATTCACAATGGGCAGTACAGATACTTCGGCGAAATAATCCAGAAATATACCTCTTAGCACGAAACTATTATCGCATTGGTAAAATAATATAACCCACTCGGATGGCATAAAATTGGGGAGGCATCAACCCTAAACACATGCGACAAAGTGTTTAGGGTTGATGCCTCCCTGACCGGATGCATGCCCGTATGGGGTTTATTTTTTTTGCCAGCTTGTCCGTTGAGAAATCCGTCACCTTGTGTGGTCAGGTCTGACGGAGGGCGTGGGTGAGGCCCGAAATTGGTTAGACACATTGCGAAACACGAGGCCCCAAGTCGGCTACATTCCTAGAACTTTGGGGCCCCAACCTGAACATTTCCCCCAACCAGAGACAAAACTACTGTACCATGTGAAGTGCGGCAAAGCACTGTACCCGCGTGTACGACGGTTCAGGGCAAGTGAAAAAGGCTGGTCGCCCACACCCACATGCAAGTCCCAGCCAACCAAATTTGTTCATAGCACCTTTTGGGATGACCGTTGCTTTGCTCTGTTACCACACCGGAATACTGTAAGTGCCAAAACTCTACACTGCACCTTAATAAAGCAGCAACCTTTTTCCTTCGCAATCCTCTCCACTCCACCAAAACTCGTTCTTTTGCGACATGTTTTGTGAACCTTCCTCAGAGCTAAGTACCCCTTCTATGGCAGTACGGCATGAATGCTCGTTTGCTGGTGCATGGGCAGTTGGCTCGCAGCCCAGTCCAAAAATTGCACTTCGCTAGGGAAGCAGTTTGCTTCTGAGGCTAGCCTCAGTCCTCGTATCTTGTGGGTGGTGTGGTGTGGTGTGGGTGGGTAGTTGGGGGAGAGCAGTGTCAGTGCGGCAGCCATCAACTCTGCCTCTTTTTCCCGCTAATTAGGTTGGCGACGGGGGAGAGTTGTGCTGGGACGGATAGAACTGAGCAAGCATAGCATCTGGTTCTGTACTAAATTTCCGCGCTTCGCTGGCGAGCGCGCGCAGATGGCGCGCGCGCTTCGAGAACCGAGCCGACGCGGACATGCTCTCAAGTGCCATTCCCCTTGCAGACGTTTCTCGCTTTCCGTTACCAACCGTCTCGATCTTATCATCTGCGCCGCTCTTGCCCTCTGCTCTTTCCAATCATCCCTCACTTGCCAAAGACACTCAGTGTTCGGCGCCATTCCTTTCATCGCCACCGCTGACGCCGCTGCCCCCCCTCCCCCCGCTCCCGCCTCCGCAAACGCCTTCCGCGTCCACTCGCTCCACCCGTCATTCCCGCCCTCCGCGCTTCACTCGCACTCCTCCATCTCCGTCCGGAGCCTCCAGCGCACCAACCCTCCCCTTCCGCCGCGCTCGCCGTTCGAACAGGTCGTGCGCGCGGTTCAGCCGCTCGCCTTTAAAACCGCAGCTACCATCCTCGCCGACCCGTCACGGCAGGGCAAGAACGGCTCCGTGAATCCCGCCGAGGTTAGCGCCGCAGTTAGAGGGCTGCTTGCAGAGGGGGTCGAGGTCCGCGTGGAGGTATGGCCGCTCGCCGTAGCGCAATTGATGCCGCTCGAGTGGTTCGAGTTCAGCCTTCCGAAAAACGTGACCGTTAATAGTCAGGTCCCCGCAGGACGCGCGGGCGGAATTGACACCGTAGTGCTGATGTATATCAGAATATTCGCGCCAGACGCGGCCATTCCCACGCCAGCTTCCTCCACGTGGCCTTTCAGCAACTCCTCGCGCTCCTCCGCGTCTCCCGGCTCGTCGTCGTCTTCCGTCGCCGCGAAGGCATACCGCCAGCCGATGAGCTTCGTGTCGCCGCAAGTGGCGCTGCTGACGTACCCCTCGTCCGTGCTCGCGACCACGACCACCGCGGCAAGCGGAAGCGGAAGCAAGGGCGGAAGCGGAAGTGGAAGCGGAAGCGGAAGCAAGGGGGCAGGAGCGACCGCTGCTCAAGTAGGTCCCGGAGGTCCTGGCGTACCCGGCGGCGGCGTGGGCGGAGGCCCTCAGGGCGGGTTGCCTCCCGACATGCAGCCGCCGTTGGTGCTGGCCGCAGCTTCCGCGAACGATCCCATCTTGGTGTATTTTCCCATGCCTATTGTCGTCGACTTGACCACGGGCGGGAACTATCAATGCGCGAATATTACCGCCAACGGTCAGGTGACTCAATACGAGCAAGAAGTAGGCGCGAACTCTAACAAGCCCATCACGCTTTACGTCCCATGCGCTCTGGCCAACGTTACTAGCAACTACCTCGCGCTTTGCTGGACCAGCACGAATATCGCCGCCCCGTCGCCTCCGGTTTTCGCTCCCCCGAGCCCACCCCCCCCGCCGTACGTCCCCCCGCCTCCGCCATCCCCGCCGGCGTCGCCTCCGCCGCCTCCCCCGGACTCGTCAGTCCCCGCGTGGAAGATCGCGGTGGGGGTGGTGGCGGGATTGGTGGCGCTGCTGACGGCGGCGGGACTCGCGGCGCTGGTGTACGTCCGCATGTCGCGGAAGCAGGGCAAGCAGGACGTGAATAAGGGCCGCGCCGCGGTTATTCAGGAGCTGCATAGAAAGAGCTCGCAGCAATGGGCTTTAACTGCTATTCTCGGATGCGGCCCGAGCAGCGCACCCCTCTCGAGACCTCAAAGCAGAGGGGGGAGAGGCGCAGGGAGTAGTGGCAGCGGACGGGGAGCAGGAGCAGGGGTGATGAATGAAAATGGGGTGGTGAGAGGGGAAGGGATGGCTCCTTCAGGATCAGAAGTGGATGACACGCAGTGAATGAGGAAAAGGGACGGAGGGGACAGAGGGGGCAGAATGGGCAGAATGGGCAGAGGGGGCTGAAATCACCAGAGAGCAAGAATGGGGGAGCAGGGCAAAAGGAGGTGCAGCAGGCGAATGGATAGGAGGGCAGGTGAGGCGGGGAGCAAGGGATGGAGGAGGGAGGTGGAGACGTGGAGCATGGTGGGGGGAGGGGACGATTATGTAGAGTTGTGTAAGGGAAGAGCCGAGCTTCAGCCAACGGGAGAGGGTGTGGTCTGGTGCAGAGGAGTGGACTTGAGCTGTTGTACCTATTTGCTTGAAAGGCAGGGTATTGGAGAGAGAGAGAGTGAGAGGAGGGCCGGGGGGGCGAGGAGCATGGACGATAGTTAATGGTGAACTTAGTGGTACTGGTATTTGAGGTGGATGGGTACGACACAAATAATGTACGGATTGGTGAGGTGAGGATGAACTCTTTAAGGGATGGCTTTTGTGAGATGGGAGGTTTATTTTTCACTGGGCGAGCTATTTATGGGCATGTGTGATACTGATACAATACATGCAGGTGTGTAAATGGTGTAGTGGGTACTATTTGGTGTATGGAGGCCTACTTATGATAACTATGCATGCATCGCCTTCATTGTGGTAGGTGTGTTAGTCTGGAATCTTCTGGGTTATTGTAAGGAATTTTCTCGATATTCCGTAGCGCGCCCTGCAACATCCCGTACAGCAGCAGCCGTTGTTCGCCCGTTACTGCTAACTTCGCCGACTTCGCCAGACTGTTTCACCAAACCTCGCACTGCTGGCCTGGCCATGCGTGTCGGCCTACGCTTCGGGACTAGCCCGAGCCTCGCTTCTAGCATAGCACTAGCTAGCTCGCACGCACCGCGTTACCGTTTGCATGTTTCGCGTATAAATGTTCGCTCATGCCTCGCTCACATTTTGTACTCGTTTGACACCTTAGTGCAATTCTCGCTACCTCGATTCATTGCACCCGTAACACTTGGTTATCAGAGCCTCTTTCCTTTCGGCGCACCTCAAGAAATCAACTTTTGTTTTTTCACTCGAAGGGACTCACGCACCTTAGCCCCTAGGAGCCGTTGTCCTCGCGTTCTCTCGTAAACGCGTGCAGCCACGACTGCGCCTAGACTAAGAAGAGCCGACGCCCTTCATAATGGCTGAACATATCGATGTCGCGACTCTCACGCTGGAGCACTTGAACGAACTGCTGCGGCAAATCCGCGAAAGCTCTGAAGAAATCGCGGCGCTGACGGCAGAACGCACGTCCCTGCAAAACGACCTCGCACGAGCACAATCCCAAGCACCTGGCACTCCGATTCAGCGACACAGACATCGCAACACGGAAGTGTGGGGCAATCCGCGAGCGCCGCAAGTGATGGCGTCGTCCGCCATGACTGAGACGACGACCACGGCACGACACACCCCGACCAAGGCTTACTTTATCAGACATTTTTGGTCTGAATTTCTGGATTCTGAACACATTTTTACTGGGTCATCTGATGTCGTAGACATGCTGTTTAATTTCGTCTGATTTTTAAGAGAAGCTTTTTCTATTCATCTGATTTCTCAGACAGCCTTATACAGTTCGTCTGAGACTGCAGATATCGAGTCTTTTTCGTCTGAAGGCAAAACTCTTAAAACCAGGGTGCACATTCAACGCGGGTCGGCTTGAGATGTTGGGAAGGGGGTTTGGAGAAAAACAGTGATTGGCTCACGAGGGGCGACAAAAAAATGATTCCGCTAGAGCTTCGGGCATTTCGTAGGTGGCGGGAGGGGGTGAAATGGCGGGAGTGGGTGAAACCGAATGGCGGGAGGGATGAAACAGATTGGCGGGAGGGGGGGGAAACGAAATTGCGGGGGAGGGGGGAAACAAAATTGCGGGGGAGGGGGGAAACGAATTTCGACGGGGAGGGGGAAATGAAATTGCGGGGGCGTGGGGAAACGAAATTGCGGGGGAGGGGGGAAACGAATTTCGACTTGAAGGGGTTGAAAGCACACCTCGTAACCCACTCAGTCAAGGGATAACCTTTGATGCACATTCAGCTGAATGTGCACCCCGGTTTTAAGGACGTATGCACTTGCCTGGCAGATGCAGGAGACAAGATTTGAACCGGCAACCTCAATCTTCACAACTCCCTCTTCTACAAGCTGGACCATTAGGGCTGGTACTTGATTTTCTTATTCATATTTTGATAGTATAATGCTTGCTAGCTTTATCTCAGACAAGTATTTAGGATTCGTCTGAAAAGCTAGACAATGTTACAGCTTTCGTCTGACAATCAGACAAGGAGCCAGGACCCGGTCTTGACATCAGACGGGTCATTTTACTAAAGTTAGCCCTGACCCCGACGCGACGAATGCGGCCCGGAATCAGCCTCGAGTCACGATCTCCGTGCCGACCGGCGAATCAACCATACCGTCGCCGATGCCGCTGAAGCCGCAGCGTCTGCCATGCTTCGATCCAAGTCAGCGGGGTGGTCCTACCGTTCAGGCGTGGCTCTTCACGTTGAACGTGTTCTTCGACGCGAACTACGTCTCGGAGGATACGGCGAAGATTCGTTACGCCGTGTCGTTGCTGCGAGGACCCGCCATGGACTGGTGGCGTATCATCGTAACGAAGCCGGTGGACTACGCGACTCTACCAACACGGGAAGGACAAACCGGACCCTGGGCGCCGTCGTATTTCGTGGAGGTGCCCCAGTATCGCACGTGGGACGCGTGGTGCGCAGGTCTATGCGCTCGTTTCGAGCCAATTGCGGCTTCGATCGCGGCGCGACAGAGGCTCCGCACTTGGCGCCAACTTGGTTCTGTCCAAGACTACACGAGCGGGTTTCTGGCGCTATGCGAGCAGGTGGGATACATGCACGAGAGCGAACGCATCGACCGCTACATCGGCGGCCTGAAGCAGGACATCGCTCAGGAAATCCAGCTTCGCGGCGTCACCGACTTTCAGGAGATTCTCGCCATGGCAGAGAAACTCGATTTCTTCCGCCGACCGAGACCGGGGTCCTACGGAAGCAACAATTAGGGACATCGGCCTCGTGGGACGAACGAGGGCGCTACGATACGTGCCGTCTGACAAAGTTCTTAGCTAGGCTTAGGAGCCATAGCTAGTGAGGTAGGAAGTTGAGTTCGAGTTTAGGAAAAATGTCGAGAGGAATGAGGGGTTTCACTATAGGTTCAAGGGTACAAATATGAGACAACAAGCAAGAAAGGTGCACCACCAAATAGGAAAACGCTATAACTACAGTAACCAATCCTACAGGCAGTTACATATAGAAAATATTAAATTATATTTTCCGACACGCCCCCATAACTGGCTGTAGGAGATGAGTATGCAGTTAGCGCCCTCCGAAGGGGTACATCACGATTGCGCAGGAGGAGAAAAGTGTTTCAATAATACCACTCCCCTGGCTCCCCCACACCCTCACACCCTCTCACCCTCCCCCTCCCCTTCCCTTTCCCCCTCCCCCACACACTGCTGCAGGAGCAGCAGAGGGGGGAAGAGAGGAGAGGTGGAGGGACGAGTGCTGGGTGGTCTCACACCCGCCACCCCAGTGCCACTCCCCGGGCTCCCCCACACCCTCACACCCTCCCCCCCAGCGGCAGCTGTAGCAGCGGGAAAAAAAGGAGGAGGAGAGGGGGGGGGGGGGGGGGGGGGGGGCCGACGCACGGCCTCCCCGGGTGCCAAAGCAGGCGGCAGAGGGGGCGACGCCTGCCCCCCCCTTCCAGGTCGCCCCTCCCGGCACCTGTCGAGGTGACCTGAGGGGGCCGCGTGCGGCCCCCGAAGGAGCCGCGACGGGTTACGGGAAAAGGGGGGGGGGCGGTGCACGTGCCCCCGGTGTGCCGCGGCTGGCGACGGGGCATGGCCGGGGCGGGGTCGGGGCCGCAAGTGGGCGGGGCCGTAGGTGGCATCGGGGCCTCAGGTGGCGGGGCCGCAGGTTGGCGACGGGGCCGTAGGGCCGCAGGAAGGGCGGCGGTGGGGCCGCTGAAAGGGCGGGCGAAGGGCTGCTGGTAGGGCGGCGACGGGGCCGCTGAAAGGGCGGCGATGGGGCCGCTGAAAGGGCGGCGACGGGGCCGCTAAGAGAAAATTAAGGGGGGCACGCCACGGGGCGTGCAGAACACAGAGTAGCAGCGGAAGCAATAGGGCGGGTCCACAGGCCAGGACCGTGATCACTCTGATAGCATGACAAAGTTCTTAGCTAGGCTTAGGAGCCATAGCTAGTGAGGTAGGAAGTTGAGTTCGAGTTTAGGAAAAATGTCGAGAGGAATGAGGGGTTTCACTATAGGTTCAAGGGTACAAATATGAGACAACAAGCAAGAAAGGTGCACCACCAAATAGGAAAACGCTATAACTACAGTAACCAATCCTACAGGCAGTTACATATAGAAAATATTAAATTATATTTTCCGACACCGTCGCCGCAAATGCCGCTGCCGCACCGTTCAAAGGGCGCTGCTTTGCGTGCAATCGGCCGGGACACCGCAAGAGCGAATGCCTCGAAAACTCTAAGGGAAAGGGGGAAACTGAGCAGCAGAAATAGACCAAGCAGCAGGGAAACGCTGGGAGTCAGTAGCAGACGGGCCCTCTACTGATAGGTCACGCCGCTCGCCCGACCCAACCGACCCTCACCGAGTGATTGTGCCGGTTCACGCAATCGACCACACCCAGCCGAATAAGGAGGGTACTACGGTAGACAACCCTATACTGCTTAGTGGGAAAATCGGGACGGACTTAGTTAAAATCTTCGTAGACGGAGGGGCCAGCCACAGCCTTATCAACACTGCCACAGCACGAAAACTGCGACTGCCACTGGACAGATGTTTACCTGAGATCGACGCAAGACTGGTCGACGGCACGCCACTGGCGATACGGGAACGTGTGGACCGAGTTCGGATTCGATGCGGGGGTAACTTCACGTTTAGCCAGGAAATGCTCGCAACGACCCTCGACGGAACCGATATTTTACTCGGGCGTGATTGGCTGCGACGACATAATC